TGCCTACCAGTTCCGGTCGGCGACCCAGTTCTGAGTTTGGATACAATTCGATTATGTGAATACTTCCAACGAACTCATTCAGGTGCGGTTTGGACGCGACTGTGGAAACTGCTTTGCGGGTCGTGGCCATGTACACTCCGAAGCAGAGCCGGCCACGGTTCATCCTACGCCCCCAGAAGAATCGGACATCCTCCTTACAGGTCCGGGTGGAGGGCACTAGGGGAACCACAAGTGCCAAGATCCTCGGCCAGACGGTCTGGAGCTCAGCTGTATCTTTCGCGGAATTTTTCTGCTGAAAACAAAGCCCATGCATAGGGTAATTTTTGAATCTGGAAGCCCAGGACATCACCAGCTGCCGCGACGACACGCGCCTGAAGGGCTGGTTTCGCAGATTGGGCCTGGATCCCGAATGGGGCCGGGCTTGGCTCCTAGAGGTCCAAGTGTGGTCGCCTGACATCAAAAAAGTGACCGAAAGGGGCGCTCCAGCTTGGTCGCAATCGAAAGCACAACAGGACGAGCAGAGTTGGTCTTGTCCTCAGTGCAGCGCCAAAGTTCCTGACATTCAGAGTGCGATCAAGGCGCACAAACGAAAGTGCCCCGCCAAGCCGAAGCCCAGAGCCAAGCGAAAGAGCAAAGCCGATGCGGAGCCAGCGGCCAAGCGACTTCTGGAAGAGTCATGCCAAAGCCCCCCAGTTCCAGAGCTGGACAGGACAGGTGCTCCGGAACGAGACAGCCGCGAAGCAAGCACTCAGCCAGAGAGGTTTTTCGAACGTCAGGTTCAGCTTCGGTGCGGAATCCATGCCCTCAACAATGCCCTCGGCTTCCATTTGGTCAACGCACAAGACATGGTTTATGCAGCCGATGCTTTCTTGTTTGAGAATCCGGAGCTCGCAGACAACGTTCAGGACCACCTTCGGCCTGAGGGAGATTATTCGTTCGAAGTCATGAGCATGGTTCTCCGCACCAAAGCCATGGAAGCATTCGGGCAGTTGCGCTGGCAGATGGAAGACCGCCGCGCCAGGAACATCAAAGACCTGGAGGGCTGCGTGGGCGCCGTGCAGCATCGGAGCGGGAGGCATTGGGTAGCTCTGAGGCGCTCGAGGGAAACCTTTCTTTTCTTAGATTCTTTAGAGGCACAGCCTCGGGACCTAACGGTCGGGCAGCTAGAAGAGATCCTGTCGTCTCACCCAACCTACGCCGTGAGCCGGCTGTAAGGGAGCATCGCGGCTTGCAGCCACAGCCGCAGCAGCAGGAAGCGAAAAAGACGAAGGCATCCTGCACTTGCGCGACAGAGACCATGCACCAGCAGTTCAATGTGGCACAGCTCTTGAAGTAAGTCCTCCAGCCAGTGCATGTTTGACTGAGCTAAGTTTCCTTCCAGCTTGGCGCTTGAATTTTTCCTTTTATGGCAGACGTTGAGGCTCAATTTTCGTTGCACAGATCTAGAGCTTTAGCTTCGCATTTTCGTGACCATGGCGCCCTGTCAGCGATGCGGAGTGGGCACACGCAGCGGCCAAGGACAGGGCTGGTGCAGTGACCCGCAATGCCGGCAAGCTGAGGCAGAGGAGCGCCAAGCTGCGAAGAGAGCCTTGCAGCAAGAGCGGGCTGCCAAGGGAGCCGGCAGGCGTGGACCCGTTCCTTTACAAGACAACCGTCGCGCGAAGAGGCAGCAGCTGCAGACCGAGCGAGCAGCGGAGGGTGCTGGCAGCCGAGGGCCCAAGCCGCCCAATATGGAGGAGGGCAGTCGTCGCAGCCAGCGGCGGAAGCTGCAAGCTGAGCGCGCAGAGGACGGGGTGGGGAGCCGTGGCCCGAAGCCTATCACAACCGACATCCAGCGGCAGGGCTACCCTTTCCCAGACGAAGAAGGCCTCACTCCCGAAGACGCAATGGCCCACTACTTCGCTTTCACCCGCAGCTGGTGCAAGTTCGGGCTCTCCAGAGCATGCGAGATGTGCGGAACCTTAACGACAGCAAGATTTTACAAACAATCCAAGGCTATGGGCAAGATGATGTGCAAGACGTGCCGCGAGAATGCAACCAAGATCCTCCTACCGGATTTGCCGCCCATCCCAGAAGCGCTGCAAGGTCTTCAGCCCATCGAGCAGCACCTGATTGCCATGGCGAGGATCAGCCAGGTCTTGCTAGACAAGCTCCCGGCCGGTGGCCCAAGCGCGCAGTGGGGTCGCATGTACGCAGTCTTGATGGAAGACCCCCTCATTTGCGACGTCTTGGCGGGCGCCACGCTCCAAGACGATGGCACAGTCCTGGTGGAAGGCGTCCAAGGATTGATGGCCTCGCCGGCTCGTCTAGACCGCCTGCACAAAGCTTTGGTCGAGCTC